AGAGAATGTTTGAGTTTTCAAGCTCCGCACTCACACTACCTCAAACAACAAAGAATTAAGTTACTAACTTTAGCCGATCAACAACTATCTTACAAGCTCAAGAAATCTAGAAGAAGAGAAAATAAGTTAGAAATCTTCAAAGATTTTGAAGCAAAACTCAATCCCTAAAACTCAAAGCATAATGCTACCATTATTAAAGAGTGAACCACAAATTAATAACCTACCAAATACATCAATGACTTTAAAAAGTTAAAACTACAAATATAAATATTTCATTAAGAACAATAAATCTACAATTACTAATAAATATTAATTGGTCATGATTAATAAATAAAATGAAAAGAAATCAATCCAACAAGTTAATCCAATCAAGCTCGACATCAACTTGAAAAATAAAACACATTAGATTAGGTTCAACTCATTTTGAAAGTAGATTAAAAATATCAATCCATATTTTATATAATTGGTTAAATGGATGAACCATGTGAGTTGAACACATTTAAAAAATGAATTTTGAATCTTTAAAAATTTTGACACATATTCATGGCTTTAATTTTTTTTTTGTTACCACATTATAGGTGAGTATTTATTAATTTTATTAATAATTAACTTTTATTAAAAAATATTATTGATTATTTTTAATAAGATCTTCTCATTAAATCATGTTAGTTTATTATATTATTTTCATTGTGTTATTCATTCTCCAACAATCATACAAAATAAAAATTATCATATAAATTAAATATTTTATTCTTTATGGTTCTCTATGTATTGTACCTCTCATCTTCTATAAAGCACCCTTAAAGAATTATACTTACAATTTTTCCTAAAATAATAATCCATAAAGCATATTATTAAATGGTCCACCTTGCCACCGTCCTAAAAGTTATAGTATGCATTTACTTTTATCTTGGGTCTATATGGAAATCTTCATATGGTGTTCTTCATCAATTCCCATATTGTTATTGCGGAAGAGTACGAAGTGTTAAACTCATAATAAATCTGTTTGTTTCAATTTTTTATTATATAAAAGTTCTTCTTTTTAATAAAATAAGTAGAATTTACTTTTTTATGTTTGTTTAGTGGAGTATATTGAATTAATATTTTAATTTTTTTTTATAATTTTATTATAAAAAAGTTTTTTTTTTATATTTAATTAAGATTTTTTAATTTAAAAAATTGTGATATTCAATTAAGATAACCTTTCTGGTGATATTGAATCACACTTCACAAATTTTAAGTCAGTGCTTTTGTTTTTATTTAAGATATTAACTGAATTTGTATTAGTACGTGTAATATTACATAACATTCTTTTTTGCAAAGAATATCATTTTGATAAATTTTCAATTGAATCAGTGAATAAATTTTTATTTTCAGTGCCACTAATTAATGAAGACCATAATTTTGAACATATTGTTTAGACTTAAGTGTATGAAAAAAAAATATATCAACATGGAAGACTCGTATAACTTTAGAAAGGTGGAGAAATGTTAGTTAGAAGAACATTAGAATTAATTACATATTAAAAGATAGAGACAATTATTTATCAAAAGATATAAAAAAAAAATTATGTTGATTTTAATTTTCTTTATTATTTATGTTATTTTTTTTATTAACTCTTGTAGCATTAAATATATTTTATAAATCTATATTTTCATGTGAAATCCATAAAATTCTTTAAAATTTTATGATATAAATCTATCAAAGTTCGTTAAAATTTAAACTATAAAATCTTAATTAAAATTAATGTTTTAAAAGTCTTTAAAAAAAATCTTAAAAATAATGACATTTCTCAATATCTTTTAAAATCCACAATATTTTTTCATGCTAAAATAGTCTTTCTAAATTTTAATCCAACACACTCTTTTTCTCTTTACTTTTTTTTCAAAAAGTAATTTCTATCTACTTTTTAAATGATTATTTTTCTAAAAATCATTTGTTTATATTTTTTTTAAAGTTTAAACAAGATGTATTATTTTTAGGGTTTAGGGTTTTGTTTTTGTCGATTAATTTATTCATATTTATTAATTTTTTTAGTCAAACTAATAAGATATACAAGCGATGAAGTGAATGTGATATAAAAATGGAGTCCCTTAGTTTACGACTTTGGATTGGTGAGTTTGTGACAACACTCGGATTGTACTCTCTACCTTTATTTATGGCACCATATAATAATTAATATTAAAAAACCACCCTTCATATTTAGAAAATATAATTTTCCCGGAAAATAACTTCAACCATGTGAATTTCATTAAATTATATAATCAATAGATGTATTTTCATGAAGTTTTCAGAAGTTAATATTTTCCATTAAAAGTTTATTAAATGCACTTTTTTTTGTTGAAATATTGAATAAATTATTCCAACTTTCTTTTTTATTATATATTTTTTACACGAAAAAATGTGAGTTCGAGTACAGCATTTAGATATGCTTTGTGAAGTTGGAAAAAAGAAGTGAAGTGGAGAATTTAAAAAAATTTCAATTGTGATTGTTGTTGGATTCTGTTGTCATCTTATCAAAATTACAGGACCAATACTTTACGTGACTGACTTTTCTTCATGCAATTCATTTATTTGAGAAAAAAAAATGCATCTTCATTGTTGTGGTAGTCAAATGTATCCTCAAAAATCATCATAACCATTCAACAAATCATGCTTCTTCACTCTCTGATTAGTTGATAACTTTTGTTTTCTTTCACTTTAGTAATTTGTTTTATGGTTGAGAGAGAGAACTAATGAGAGTTGAATTGAATGATGCTGAGGAAGTAGATGCAACGCAACATCAAAGAGTCTGCAGAATAAGGTTCTCCCTTTTTTCCTAAGCTGAGTATATATATTATGCTTGGCTCTTGTTATTTGACTCAAAAGCCATCCAGTTTCTTCTATTAAAAAATTCCAAAAAAAATATTATATTAATTTTCATAGGAATAGATGTAAAATTAAATTATTTCAATAATTCATTATAATTAAAATTAATTTTTATTTGGATAAGTTTACCAAAAAGTTATTTTAATTTTATTTAAATATAAAAAACCAACTTTTACGTAGTAAATTAATAATAAAAAAAGAAGGTATGAATGAAGATGCTTGAAAAAAAATTGTAAGAGAAATATAAAAGGGTTGAAAAAATTGAGTGTAATTCGGGGATAATTTTAATTTTTTGTGGCCCAAAAAAGTTGTTCGAAAATAATAGTAAACTTCAAATTTTGATATAAAAGATTTCAGCTCACTTTTTCAAAAGATTTATCTTTTAAAAAATTTCAATTGATGCTTCAAACATATATTATTTTTTAAAAAACTTTCCTTTTAAATAAAAAGTTGAAATATAATAATTTTAATTATTTCAAACAATATAATTTATTTATTTTTAGAAATTATATATCTATCTTTCATCAAATATTTTTTTTTTTTGCATCAAATAGATCCTTATAAATAAATTTCTTCTTCCAAATATTTCATATCTTCAACTCAAAATTCCAGATTAAACTATAACAATTGTGTCATGTATTTAGTGATTCATGCGCTAATTATAAATCGTCCTAAAATGTGATTTTTAAAATGACAATTACAATCTTTACACTATCATGTATTCCAATTAAATTTGTTAAAAAAACTATAATTAAGCTTATTATATTATATGAGTTTAATAAACACGCACCGTAAATATAAAATTAAAGTTTTAATTTAACCAATCAAAATGATATTCATATAATTTATAAGGTAAATTATTATAAATATTAACAAATTATTAATCATGATTTGTGTAGAAAAGTAGTTTATTTGATACATGTATGATCTATTCATACTATACCAAGGTACTGTTCTTATTCTTGCATGCAAATAACACATATTTTACTCTGTTGAAACACGCTTTCTAATTTGAAAATATGACTAATTTAGTGTTAATGAGACACGTTGCACAAATTTCACTTGTTTTTTAACAACTTAGGTTCAAACCTAAAGTATATGCATGAGCTAATAGATGTAACTCAATTAACAAAGAGTAATATAGTTAGTAAATAACATGTGATCAGAAATTTAATTGTTACTTATATTTATAAATAAAAAAATTGTTCAAAAATGGTTAATTCTTTAAATTAATTTCAGTATTTAAATTAAATTCTATCTTTCCATAAGAGAATATCTTAATTTAAAAAAAATTATAAAAAAATGAGTCACGTCCATTTTGTTGATCTTATTAATTAACCCATTTATTGACTAATGCACAAGTCACCAACCATTAATTGGCATATCAAACTACCCAACTAATCATCGTGAGTTGGAGATCATATAATAAATGCAGAGACATTAGCCTCTGACAGTAACAACATACTGTACTAGTTTGTAGGAGCCAATGTTAAAGTTAAAAGCCAACTAAATTCTAAATTCTATGATTCTTCTACCTTTACCATGCTCACAATTTTTGCGCTCACAACAACCCCAAAGATTCTAAAGTTAACGAGAAATTGCTTTTTTATTTATTTTTTACTTGTATCATGCAAAGACAGAAACCAAGAAATTCTTGCAAATGCACGTGGAGGTCGTGATTCTTTACCATTCTAATTAGCTACAATGATTCGTGTCTGTTCACAAACTTTGTACGCGTTTTACATTCAAGTTTATAATACGAGATAATCATTTTATTCACTACCAACGTAAACGGATAATTAATTATATTTTTTAATTATATTATATCACTATAAACACATTTATTTTTAATAATGACATGACACAATTAAAAGATATAATTAATTATCACTGACAGTGTACAGGTGATTAACTCTTATAATAATAATATTATTGTAACCTTGTGAACCAATTATGTAACATCAGAAAATGATGTTACAATTATATGAGAGAGGGAGGGAGGGAGGAATAGCCACGAGGTACAAGTATATGGGCACCACACAGACGCAGTCCTTACTTGTTATTACCCTTGTGACTTATCTCATATAAATTAATTAAACACATAATAACATGATCAACTTAAGGGTTATCTATACATTAAGTTACAAGTATATTCGCTATCAACACCTCACTATTCCTCATCAATGCTACATTGCCTACTCTCATTACATCCACAATAATATCATCATCATATCATAAAACCTCTTGTTCCTTATGTTGAGATTGCCCTTTCAGCCCATTCTCCTTTAACAAACATTTTTCTTATTAGAATCTACTCTACCCCTAGCTCTTTCTAAAAATCTACCAACAAGAACCAGAATGGAGGAGAATCTTAGTTCATATAATCCTCAACTAGTCTCTAGCTTGAAGAAGAGTTACAAGAAACAAGAGCACGATCATCATCTCAAAGAAGAAGACTACATGTCTCCATCTTTCAATCTGCGGAATGTTTCAAAGCTCATTCTTCCCCCACTTGGTGTTTCAAGCCAGAATCCAGTAAACTCGAAAGGATGGATCGTATCACCAATGGATTCCAGATACAGGTACAATTACCTTACCATTAAAATCAAGATTTGGAAAAGTCGTGTCTTTCAACCTTTTGATCGAAAAATTATTAATTGGTCTACTCTACGCATGATTGTATATGGTCTCAATCAATCTCATGCAACCAAAATTTTCAGTTTATAGAAAAGAGTTAATAAAACTCAATTACGTGTCGCATGAAAATCAACTGAAACCATGATGATCTGGACCAGATAATAATTTCTGCTTCTTATCAATGTTTATTAACTAATCTATATGATATCAGCTTGTTAAAGTTTTTAATTTTGACATTCTTGATATTATAAGTTGTTAAATTTATTAGTTCTTTATGGTATTCCTTTGAAACAAATATTTGGTTTTGACCATAACTAGAAGCATGAAGAGAACAACATAATTGGTGTTCACAAATTTAATTCAGGGGTTTAAAATTTTGATATTGGTTCATATATGTGCAGGTGTTGGGAGAGTTTTATGGTTCTTCTGGTAGCGTATTCTGCATGGGTGTACCCCTTTGAAGTTGCTTTCATGCATTCTTCTTCAAATAAGAAACTCTATATTGTGGACACTGTTGTTGATCTTTTCTTCGCTATTGATATCGTTTTGACATTCTTCGTGGCTTACATTGATCGAACAACTCATCTACTAGTTCGAGACAAGAAAAAGATTGTAGTGAGGTTAGTGAATCACTATTTTTTTGGTCCATTCTATAGAATTTGTTTTTTCTTTCTTGGCAACTATGTTAACTACTAATTTCTTTTCCTCTCGGGTCGTATTTATACAAGTGGTTCTCATTTGTCTAGATCAGGACAAACAAAAAGAAACTAATTTATTCAAACATGTTTTCACCGCACTACAAGAAAAGTTGAAAACTTGTAAGTAAATGTCTATTTAATATTGACTTAATTTGTCTATTAACAAAATATTTATAAACATAAGTAATTTTATATTTTATCTATAATTATTATATACATAAGAATAAAACATGCATAATCCGTATATGTATAAGTTATTTACTTTTGCCATGTAAACACCTGAAATAATGGATAACTTTTTGCAAGGTATAGAAAAAGTGACAAGAACGATTTTACTATTTTGTGATTCTAGAGAATTTGAATGTAAGCATCTAAAGTAAAAGTATCATTATTCTAAAATCTAATGAAAAGAAAGACAAAAGCTTCATTCACCACGTTGATATTATCCAATATTATCTTAGAAAGAACTTGATTTGGTATTAACATGCATGAAGGATTGATTCTACTTTGCTTTTCAAATTCCAATTCCTGAGTTGGGAGAGGGTAAACGTGGGGCCTAATTTCCACCAAAGTTTGATAACTTTGATTTGTGTTAGACCAACTTTTCTGAGGTCGGTTTTGAATATCAAATTCAACCCGATAAAGGTCATTGTCGAAATAATAGTTAATGATTATTGCTTTCAAGTACGAAATTAGATAACGGACATCTGGTTCAGTTTTTGCCACCATAGTTTATAGGCCAGGGTCCAACTATCACAAAATAATTCAGTAAATACTAGAAAGTCACAAATGGGTCAGCCCAATTGAAATATAGGGTCCAGTATTTAAAGCAGCTAAAAGTGATGATTGTTTTCTGCATCTCCTTTTCTTTATTTCCACTTTTTTTTTTTTTTTGTTAAATTTTATTCTACTAATATTACTATACACGAGTTGATTTTCATAAGTATGAAAATATGATTGACTTTCGGAATTGTACTTGTTAGAAAAACTCTCCATTACAAGATTTTTAAACAAACTTGAAAAATCCCCTTTCAGAGGAAACACCTCACACGCAATTGCATTAACCACACAATCAAGACATCTTATGTATATATGAAACACTATTGGGTAAAACACACCATTGGCTGAAACCATTAAGTTTTTATTTTTTATATAAAATTCAAATTATCAACTTCTTAATCTTAGAAGAGAAAACAAGTTTTAAATAAAAAAAGTTTATATTTATAATATTTTTAAGTTTGAACATTTTAAAATGTTTTTATAAGTAAACTTAACTGACTTATGTGCTGATTAAGAAAAATTTGTGAATTTTATTTAATGTTGTTAATCTTGATCAAAATTTATTTTTTCCCTATATTAACCTTCATCGGATCTTGATATCAAGAATGAAAAAGTGTCATCAAAAATAAAATCTCAATTAAAATAAGGGTATTTCAGACATTAAATAAAATAAAATTAGTTTAAAAAAATTGTTTAGGTTGACAATTTATGAGTTTTTTTTATTATATTTGAATGGGAAGGAATAATATATTTGAACTATGTAGATAAGGTGATCTTGTTCTGCTAAGTTTGACCCAAAAATACATACAATATAGTAAAACCAATGATGATACTGTTAGCAATGTGGTAGATACTTGTCAACATGGTTCGTGATGGATTTGGCATCAACTATACCATATGAGGCACTTGGCTATTTGTTCACTGGCAAACACAAAGGGAGTCTCCCGTACTTTTTATTGGGCCTCCTCAGGTTTTGGAGAATCAGACGAGTCAAGCAATACTTCACAAGGTTTTGCATCTTTCTCTTTCAAATATTCCATTTTACCATTGTTTTTTCGTAACCTACTACTATGTTAAAATTGATCTATAGCTCCACTTATTTCCCAGGCTTGAGAAAGACATCAGGTTCAGCTATTTTTGGATCCGATGTGCTAGGCTTCTTTCTGTATGTCATGTTTCATTCCACTCCTATTTCAAAAATATTTTTGCTATATGTTTAGTCAATAAACACTTACCACATTGGTTCATTAAGACTGCTCATTCATATTATTTGTTGCCAAAATGACTTTAAATATTGCACTTAACTAGCAGAATGAAAGACACGTATCTAAATCTATACATACACCCACATATTTGTCTTTTACTAGATACCTCTTTAACCAAGTCTTTTAATTCAGTGGTCGTAAGGTCTGTCCTATAACACAGGAGGTCAACCTGATGCTCCATGAATCAATTCTCATTAGTGTTAAAATAAGCCCTACAAGTGTAAATTAATCCTTAATTGTTAGTTTTGGAACACTACATAGACTATGTCTTGGAAAAAAAATAGCTTTGACTAGATAAATCACATTATTTTTTAAATAGAAAATGTTGAAACATTTGTGTGAAAACTGGTGCAGGTAACACTTTTTTCAATTCATTGTGCTGGGTGTCTCTATTACATGCTAGCTGATCGCTACCCCCACCAAGGAAAGACATGGATTGGAGCTGTGAATCCAAACTTCAGAGAGACTAGCCTTCGGATCAGATACATTTCAGCCATGTACTGGTCCATCACTACCATGACCACTGTAGGTTATGGTGACCTCCATGCTGTGAACACCATGGAAATGATCTTCATTATTTTCTACATGCTCTTTAACCTTGGCCTAACTGCTTACTTGATTGGTAACATGACAAATCTTGTTGTTGAAGGAACTCGCCGTACCATGGAATTTGTGAGTATTGTTTCACATTCTTTAGTTCACCCAGGGGATATAATGAAATTTTAGGTCATGTACATTTACTATATGAAATCATTTATTTAGGTTATGATTACCAATTGGAGATTATGTTATACTATTCTTTTTTTCATAACTTGTGTTAAATAATGATCTGATAGATATTTCTGTTGAAAGTCAGTGTCATTCTGTTAGTATTTGTCAGTTGGTTGTTTCGTTGTTCCCTTGAGATATAAATATTGGTGTGTATATACGAATCTTGTTTAATAATGAGATTAGGTGGTCTTCTATGCAAAAGTTCTTGATCTATTTCTTTTTACTCCATATGTTTTCTACTTTCTACAGTTCAGATTCTTGATAGTTTTGGAAGGCTTTTATATAGGTTTCTTGGAATGCTCCAAGAATTATATGTAATTGTGGCTAATATCTAATATAAAGAACTTCATGTCATTATTGGTGCAGAGAAATAGCATTGAAGCAGCATCAAACTTTGTGTGCCGAAATCGGTTGCCTCCAAGGTTAAAAGAGCAGATCTTGGCTTACATGTGTTTAAGATTCAAGGCAGAAAGCTTGAATCAGCATCAGCTTATGGAACAACTACCAAAGTCAATTTGCAAAAGCATCTGCCAGCATTTGTTTTTTGAAACTGTAGAGAAAGTCTATCTTTTCAAAGGCGTCTCTAAAGAAATTATCTTGTCCCTGGTATGGAACTAAACTTGATTCTAACAATTGTATGGACATAAATCAAACCATTGTGCAAGTAAATTGATGGTGTGAAATTGTTGACGTGCAGGTTGCAAAAATGAAGGCAGAATATATACCACCTAGAGAGGATGTTATCATGCAAAATGAAGCACCAGATGATGTTTACATTATAGTGTCTGGAGAAGTGGAGATAATCAGTAGCGTAATGGAGAAAGAGAGAATTGTAGGGAATTTACATACTGAGGATATGTTTGGAGAGGTTGGTGCACTTTGTTGTAGACCTCAAAGCTTTACCTATAGAACCAAGACTCTCACACAACTCCTGAGACTGAAGACCAATACTCTTATAGAAGCAATGCAGATTAAAAAAGAAGACAACATACAAATACTCAAAAATTTCCTTCAGGTGTGGTTTCTTGGCTTGTGAATTACATATCATAAATCATAATGCTTATGGTTGTTTTGTTTTTAACTCTTAAACATAATAGAAGTGATGCAAATGCAGCATTTCAAGCAGCTCAAGGATCTGAGTATCAGAGATTTGATGGTGGAGAATGTGGAAGAAGAGGACCCTAACATGGATGTGAACTTGTTAACTGTGGCAAGCACAGGCAATGCTGCTTTTCTTGAGGAGCTTCTAAGAGCAGGTTTGGATCCTGACATTGGAGACTCCAAAGGGAAAACTCCATTGGTATGTTCATGTTCTTATTCATTCTTTTCTATATTTCTTTAAATCAAATATAGAAAAAATCTCACATTCTAAAAGGAAACAAGTAGTGGACCTCTTTACCAAATAATTTAACCTTTTACATGACTAATTCTTCGCTTAGTGCTTATCACAACAACTTTAAGACTAGCAAGATATATATTTGTCAAAACTAACAATTTGTTACATTTTATGCAGCACATAGCAGCATCACATGGGCATGAAGAGTGTGTTAAAGTCTTACTCAAGCATGCATGCAACATACATATAAAAGGTATGACATACCTATTCCCTTTCTTAAACTTACATTTTCCTCTGAATTTTTCTTGATTATATTTTAGTTTCTTTTAGTGATTTTGTATTTCCATTACTGGCAGACATGAATGGTAACACTGCATTATGGGATGCTATAGCATCAAAACATTACTCCATATTCCGGATCCTTTTCCAGCTTGTTGCTCTTTCTGATCCAAACACAGCAGGGGATCTCCTATGTACAGCAGCAAAAAGAAATGAATTAACAGTGATGAAGGATCTCTTAAAGCTAGGAATAAACGTTGACTCTAGAGACCATCATGACACAACAGCAATCCAAATTGCCATGGCAGAAAATCGTGTTGACATGGTTCAGTTGCTTATCATGAATGGTGCAGATGTCTCTGATGTGCATTATCATGAATTTTCTTCATCCTCCTTAAATGAAATGTTGAAACAGCGTGAAATTGGACATCTAATCAATGTAAATGAGGCCATGCCCGGTGAAGTTGTCTTAAAGGGTCAACAACAAGAGCAGGATCACATTGGAGGAAGATCTACTGGAGTAAAGTTTCCAAGAGTAAGCATATATAGAGGCCACCCTATAGTAAGAAGAGAAAAATGTTCCATGGAAGCTGGAAAGCTAATAAGGTTGCCTGATTCATTAGAGGGGCTCAAAACTATTGCAAGTAATTTTTCAAATTTCCATCAATTTAGTACTGAAATTTTTCATAATTTCAGTAATCAAACTCATTTTTATTAAATGATTGTCTATATCAGTTCACCAAAAAAATATAGTTTTGTCGATATTATTGTGTAGATTGTTTGAGAAAGAAAATTTTCAGATCTTAGTACACTAGCATGATTGTATCTTGTGTGGTTTCTTCTTCAACAGGTGAAAAATTTGGGTTTGATGCAAAAGATGCAATGGTGACGAATGAAGAAGGAGCAGAAATAGACTCTATTGATGTGATCAGAGATAATGATAAACTTTTTTTTGTTGAATAAGCTGAGATGCAAGAATGTCAACTGTAAATATATAATCTCAGATAACAGAATTACATGCTTCCTTTTTTGTGTTGGTCATTTTGTCTTTTTTCCTGTAGCCATAAAGAAGTGGCTTTGGCTTTTCGTTTATAAATCATAGTTTTTTTGCTTCTGATAACTGAAAAACCATTCCTATTGCATAAAAAACTGAAAATATAGTTGGCATTTTATTCTTATGCTGTAGTATGAATAAAATGTTGATTAGAATAGTTTGATCTCGAGGGAACAAGATCAGAAGAAAATCCATTGTCTTGGTAGGAATCAAATTATACTGTTGAGGTTGTGAATCCATAAAAAAAAAAATTGAAGATCTTTCATCATTCATTATTTTAGCATAACATATTTAGACCTACCAAGTCTTTTTTGCTTGGCAGCACCCCGACCAAGTCATCAAACTATGTCTAAGTGTCTGACCCAGTCCAATAGCTTCATGATATGTGTTATTATACACTAACTTTAATCATAAGTTGATGAATGATGAGGGATAACGTAATGGAAGCTAACAACTTGCTTATCAAAAAGTTCGTATGGTGGAGCTAAGCAAATATAAATGAAATAATAGGCTTAAAATATTGGATCTTTCATAAAATCAACGTAAGTCTCATATGTCAAGTTGAAGAGCGT